TGCAAGAAGCGCGTGGTAGGTCCGGCTGCAAAGGTATCGTCACGTGGCCAAGGGGGCGGTACCGTTTTCTCGTGGCTGCCCGGTATAAAAGAGAGACGTAGCACCGGTGCATCCACCAATTACTATTGCACTTTGCCACCGGGACGGAGGCAAGGTCGCCGTTGTTACGACCCTCTCTCGAACTCGAAAATCCGTCGTTCGCCGTCGTCGTGCGTGTGTCACGCTGTCCGTTTTCTCTCTCTTTTTTTTTCCCCGCTTCATTCATTCATGGACTACCACAATCGTCGTCGTCGTCGTCGGTCGCGATCGTTTCTAACGCGATCGAGAAACGCGTTACACTAGACGAATTTCTTGAGCTACCCTTAAGGAACAGAGACCAGAGCGAGATATTACGGTGGCGGTGATCGTAAAAATGTACGTTTCTTCGAGTATTGTATATATATATATATGTATATATGTATATATGCATTTGATACGGCGATCGGAGACCGAAAGAACTCGATCACGGGGGAGATATCGCGTCCCGTCTGCCTCGTAAAACTTCGACTTACCCGTACTTTACGCAACGGCGTTCGCCGGTTTAAGGGTGCTCGGTAAGCGTTAACCCTTCGCGAAAGGGCGACACAACCGGGGGGATGACTTTCTCTCTGCTACTTGGTTCTTGTAGCTCCTCAGTTTGCTGTGTTGCGCTGCGCGGTGCTTTTCGTTTTGGTTTGTTGATTTTAATGTAGTGGCTAGGTTGTTTTGGTTCAGTTTGTTGGTCGGGACAGCTGAAGAATTTATATATATATATGTTGGTTTTTTTGTTTTGTCTTCGTTCACTTTTCTGTCATCTTCTGTTTACCGAGTTTCTGTTTGGTTGCTTTGGTACTTCCGAGTTTTTCATTGAAATACAGAAGTGTGTTTTTTTTTCTTCTAATGTTTTCCTATGGGTGAACGAAGCATAAGTAGAGCAACTTTTGAAAAGGAAGTTTCTGTTTCGTTGTGATTTTTGTCATTTATAATTATTACACGAACGTTGTGAATATGTTAATTCTGTAGAATGAAACAGGTGCAATTTAAATTCTTATCTTACTTCTTTTCTTTTTTTTTCTTTCGGAGATAACACAAGCAGACCAGTTTTAATCGAAGGAAGCAATAGTGAAGTAGTTCGTCATTTTCTGTGCGTGGTTTTATACGTCCGACATGAAATTCGTAACTTCGATTGATGAAAATCAATCCAAGAGAAGTCGGCAGAAGGACTTGGCGATATTGATCGTCGATTCCGTTTCCAATGCTCGGGGTGAGGGGAGAACGGTACCATGATCGAGCAGACGGCGATTCTTCACCCGAAGAAAACTTCAAAAGTGCGGAATAATGTTTCTCAAATTGGAATTTCCAAAGGAGATTCCCGGAACACGTGGAATTCAAAATTATGTCACATCTACGCATCTACAAAAGTGTCGAGAAAGTAAAAGATCGAACAAAATTACGTCCAACGATCGAAACATACTCGTTCAATTTGTCAATTCAGAAGTTCGTTCTCTATTTCTCACGACAATTCTTCCAACAAAAACGTCAACAACAAACGGAACAATTTCCAACCTAAAACAAGCCACCGGAGGGAAAGAAGGCATTTATTTCGCGCCGCCCCTCGACCCGTACACGCGTCTACGCGCGAAAACCGTGTCTCGTTGCACTCGCGGTTCCGTCCCCTGCCCGCGCGGCGCAAAAAGAATTGGAAAAATCCGTCATCGGGAGGAACGAGAGAGTTAACGACCCTCGACGAGGGAACAAAGAAGAAACACTCCGGCTACCTTCTTTTTCTCCCTCTCCCTCCCTCCGACTCTCTTCCACCCCCCGCCCGCTCGCAACGCCGACGAAAGAGAGGCCTTACACAATTTATGCATCCGAAACAAACAGAAACGCGGCTGTACTATAAATATCGCGGGAACGGGCAAAAAATATCTGGATGCGCGGAGGTACCGATCTCCTCTCCTACCGTCTTCTGCACAGGCCTGCCAGCCTGCCGGCGGCCGGTTCCTCCGTTCCGGCCAGCAGAATCGAATCTCGCGCGGCGTGTGCACGCTTTCCATTCGGGCCGCGGGGTTCACAAACGAATACCGGAAGCAAAGGTTGAAGAGGAGAGGTGTATCCGTGGACGAGAGGAGACGAAGCCCGGGTGCCCTCGACAAAGGGGCGCACATCGCGTTCGCAAAAAACGGAAGGACGAAAAAGCGACGACGTGGGAGAGGGAGAAGGGAAAGACGAGCAGCAGACGAACAGAGAGAGAGAGAAAGGAAGAGGAAGAAAAAGCTTGCGTGGGAGAGAGAAAGAGAGAGGAAAGCGTAGGAGGAGCGGCGCAGAGAGCGGAAAGAACGCGTGGAGCACGACGACGACGACGACGACGACGAGGAGGAAGGAAGGAAGGCGGCCCGGGGGCCGGTGAAGGGCAGGAGGACGCAAGAAGCACGGAGGAGAAGGAGAAAAGAAGGAAGAGAAGTAGGAGGTAGGCAGGAGAAGGAGTAGGTTGAAGAAGGAGGTGGTTGCCGGTTGGTGGAGAAGGAGACGACGAAACATGCATGCATGCATGCATGCATGCATGAGACAGGCAGGCGGACAAACAGGCAGCAGGCAATACAGGCAGACATAGAGGAGGCAGGCAAGGCATAGAGAGGTATACAGGCAGAGATAGGCGAG